ACAGATCTCAACAGACGCGACGGATTCACTGCCTTGTTGATCAAATTGATAAAATTTCCAACTGCTTGAAGAATCAATAGATGTGGCGAACGACTCTTTGAATGTATTGAGTTTAGTCCAAGCAAATTTCTCTCGTTCGCCACATCTATTGATTCTTCAAGCAGTTGGAAATTTTATCAATTTGATCAACAAGGCAGTGAATCCGTCGCGTCTGTTGAGATCTGTTGATTAGCGAATAGTCATTTGGCTGATCTATTATTCACTACCCTCACCCGCAACATACAGAGTAGTAATTGATGTTAACATACAAAATGACTCGATCGATATGATCTCTTCGAATGAATTATTTTATTCAGGGATTCTTCTACAACGGATGAGGAACGAACCAATCCTCGATATATACCTCAGTTAGAAATCATCAAAGAGGCACAAGATATAATTGCAAGATACGAAATACTTGGGCTTGATGCGACACTGCTGCCTGAGTTCAGGAATGAAAACGAACGACAAGATGCATTGAATTCACTTCCGGAAGTTATTCAATATCGGTTGCGTAACACTGATACAGTTATGAATGATATTCGAGAACCTGAAATGTTGATTGAACGAGTTCGAAACAATCTCGGCATCACAGATGTGCGTCGTCAAATGGAAGAGAAACAAAGATTGCTAGAAGAATTAGAACAGCGATGCAGTGAAAGACAAGCCGCTGTTCAAGAACAAAAACGGATCCATCGATCAATAAACAATGCGAAACATTGGAGAGTCGGAGTGGCCCCTTAGCAATGTGGAGCTCCTGATAAAGCTTATAACATGGCCCATGTCGATTGTAATTGAGATCATCCAGGCAATTTATATTATTTTAACGATCAGCCAAATTTGATGGTTTGTGATTCATGTCGGAAGGTTATAAGATGTACACCTAATCATGCACGTTGTACCAATTGTAGACGCCGTCTTATTGTTACCAAAGTTTTTTGATATTCATTCGAACTGTAACTCACAGGATGTCTACTACAAGACTTCAACTGAAGTTTTACATCGTATTTTTTTATATTTCATGTTTATCCCTACAACACAATTAGTCTTATAGCATCTACTAGTTAAGACTGAATTTTCAAATCTCGTTGTTTTTTATTCTCAAATAAAATACTATCAAAATGTGATTTTAAGTCAAAAATATTGTCAATGGTAGGTAAAGCACTTCTTCGAGAAAATTGAATAAAGTTGATATATGAACATTTGGAGCAGTTCAGTCTTCAACTGTCTTCGTTCAGAGCGTATTTGGTCTTCAAAAGAAATGGAAGAATAAGAACTTTTCCGGCACAAGTGTTGAAATATTTTCCCACCGCTTTTTCTCAACCCAATGTCGTTCTTTGATCATGTGTGAGTGTTTGACAGCTGTGACAGTACCGAGTGTCTGTTGTTTGACAAAAATAGAATGTCGTCATATAGAAGAATATGTTTTATTTGTTTTCTTCTTTCTTTGATTTATCATTAAAAAACAATCAAAATGGATTCGTATGTCTCGAACGAGAATGACATTTGTTCGTTATTCCAGCGAGTTGTTCTTTGAATAAATTCTATCGTATGAAATACTTCAAATTATTCCAGAGAAAATGTTCACTCATGTCAATGCGATGACCAAGATCTGAATGTTCAGAATCTCCTTGAAAATGAAGAAATCGTTCATCAATCGAGAGTATTGCGAGCACAAGCCTTCTTCGACGAAAAAGCTTTCAGCGTAATCCCTGCGGGATTAATCTGATCATCCACAAGAACACACACGACAACCTAAATTCGAAAATTTGATTGCGAAACTCTTCACTCATTTTTTCCTAGGCGTACAAAATGACATCACTTTCGGATTTGACAGTGGAAAAAATTCGTTCTGAAAATCTTAAACAGACGATTGAATCATGTAAAAACAATTATTGATATACCTTCCACGTGTCGATATCATCAACGTCATCTGCTCTTATGGCTGTGGTTGAATGCTTCGTTCGTCTTTTTTTTTAAAAAATGTAAATCTATTACACATTATGATGTTTCTTTTTGGTTTGAAACGGTTTTAAATAGATGTTCTTTCCTTTTTTTTCGTAAGTGCTTTAAAGAACTGAAAAGCTACAAAAAGTACATCAAATCAGCCACATGACCACGAATGAAACCTACCTCCTCGGGGTTCTCCACGCCTCGGTCCGTGGTATTTGTTGTGACGACAACATTTCAAGCGATCAGGAGCTTTTCTCGACTTGTTTTGCTTTAAAAGCTATGAAAAGCTGCTTCTCCAGAAAAAATTTGTTTTTCAATCCGAAGGAGTTGCTTTTTCAAGCAACAATATCGTCACCTAAAAAGCAATGGATTTAACTTCGTCTTTCATCCTGCCCGTCCTCCTTTCCTCAGTTTTCCTTCTAAATTAAATGTTCCTCTCCTTTTGATATAACCTTTATTCTTTCAGAATACAAGTATTCTGTATTCTGAAAGAATAAAGCTTATATCAAAAGGAGAGGAAAATTTAATTTAGGAGGACGAGTACGATGCAAGAACCTAGCTGATAACCTTCTTGTGTTTAATCTATTTGATACCAGGAACTAGCTTGGCCGGTCGGTTAAATGGACGGCGGGAGCTAGATCAAATAGAGTTAGCTTGATCGGTTGGTTAACCTAGGTGATAATCTCCCGAACCGCCAAAAGTAGGTTGAACCGCCCGATCCTAGGTTAAACTTTTTGAGGTGGTGCTAGCTTAACCGGGTCGAAAACCGTGTTACCTAGCTCCAACCGCCCGATTCTAGCTCCATTTGTTTTGCTTGGGTATAGTCTCAAAGTGTTTTTGTATGTATTGTGTTAGAATCAATGAACAACATCTAATTAGCCTATGAATACTACTTACGAGGGAACCTCTCGAGGTGATTAAAAACTTTTCGACTCAGACTATTTTCACCATGTAGGGAATAGTCAGCAGTGAAAAACCCCAAATTGGTTTGGGCCCATGCGCCTTTTTGACGGATATATGAGTTAATTAATGAAAATGCCATTAATAATAATTAATTAATAGCTCACGACCATGATCAGCTAGGAGTCGGAAATTTTCACCACAGTTGAAGATAGATGTTGTCTACTCACTGCGACACTTTTAGGCTTATAAACGAAAGCTTTTGCAAGATATGAATTTTTTATGATTTTAGACAGCTTTTAGTGAAAATTCACCATTGAAAACCTAGAAACTTGTTATCACCTTTTAGATACTTCTATCGACTCAGTAAAGACTTATTTGATTTAGATATATGCCATGCCATATGAGTACGAGAAAAGAGCGAGCAAGCAGCAATAAAATCAACGCGACGTGACATCACTGTCAGACTTTTTTTTGACGGTTGGTGGAAACTGCATTGGTTTGACCTATGGAAAAACAAATCCAAATCGAACCAAGACTTCAATCGTTTTTGTTTAATTAGAGGTAAGTAGAAGAACGGGGTAGAAAGACTCCAGGATCCTCACTTCACTAACCAGTACTTCTCACTCAACTTTTCATCTTCATTTCCTCTCTATTCTTGATCGTCTGAAACAGTCGTCATATACATCCTATGTGGAAGAAAACCCCTTAGTCCTACTGTTTTTCATAAAGAATGGCAGTCATGAAAATTTGTAATCTTACAATCCTCAATATTGTTTCGTATTTCAAATCAATGGAATTAAAATTGTTCCATTCTGGATGATTACTTGCGATTAACAATAAAATCGCCAATTAATCCCACTTTTAACTATATTCGTCCATAAATTGCGATATATCGGCGATTTTTAATAACTGGTGATTAATCGACTTGCATGAAAAATCGTCAGTTGTCGAAAATCGCGGATGTACCACCATTCTTAAAAACATCGCAAATAAATTATGATTGATTGGTGATCCTGGTGATTTTTCTGTTTTTTTAATAATGGTCAATTAATTGCGATTAATTGTTGATTTTAAGCCAGGTTTTTTGTTAATCACCGTTTTATTCTGCACTAGAGTAAGTATAGAAGAAACACAATTTCAACGACAAATGTTCTTCTGTTCAGATTATGTTTTTAGTTTAGCTGGCAACGGAGTTGCCAAGAGTGTTCTCTGTAGTTTCCTCAGAGCCGACTTATTGTTTCGATTTGAGTCAGCTTTGAACCGAGGAGCCCAGTTGACTGTTAAACCAAAAACACGCCGATTAATTGCTTTTAATCGGTAGAATCAACAAAAAAATCACCGAGCACGATACATCGGCTGATCAATCGCTAAAAGAAATTGAAAAATTGAAAAGTCGCTGGAATTGAGTTGTATTTTTCATGGGAGTAGAATGATTGAGTAAGATTATAAAATAAGAATTTTTTCTTTTTTGGAATTTATTTCTGTAAACATGTAGAAGCATGAAACTGAAAAAGTCGACACTCCTTGCAGTTGAAAGGTGAACTGAGTTGAACTATAATGTAGGGAGGCGTGACGCAACATTACCGCGAATTTGGGCGATTTTTCGATTTTAAGATATTTTAAGACAGTTTTGATCACTTCTGCTAATGTTGAGATGAGAGAACTTGATGGAACAGTCTACAATGTTTGGGCGCGCGGTGTGGGCAGTGGAATAGTGAGTTCGAAAAGTAGTTTCACACAGAACATATTTTTTTGATGTCGTATGTATTATCTTGTGCGTTCAAAGTGCTTATCTGATATTTAACTAGTTGAAGATAAAGCTGTGGTTGATAAAATTCTAATAACAAGTAGATTTACCATTAACAGCAGTTGCTTCGTTAGTTTTTTCAAGTTTAGTTTCTATAAAATCTATTTGCAAAAATTTGTGGAATAGTCGTGGCGGATCTGTCGTCGCGGAAATGTCGACGTATCTGCTCGCACTGTACACCCTCCCCCCCCCCACCTCTTACCACACACTGCAAGTAATACCCAAATCTGTACTATGAAAAATTCGCGGAAATGTCGCTGTATCCATAGGCGGCGGAGCCCTTAGGCTAGGGGAGGCTCAAGCCCCCCCTGAATTTAGACTCTTTCGTTCTCTCCCAGCAAAAACATTTTGTTTTTCATTTTTTGACCAGTTCCTTAAAAAGATCTGAGCCTCCCTTGACCACATATCATTCCGCCGCCTCTGGCTGTATCTAGGGAAGGGTTAAGTCTTAATGTGGAGACTCCACCTAATATGTGTACACGTATGTTTCTTTTATCTATCTCTCCCCTTCTCTTACTTTTCTGTCCACGCTGCTCTTTCTCTACAATTTTTATTTTATTGCATGCAATTAAATTTACATCTATTTAACACTTTTTAATATGTTTACCTGGTATAATGATTTCTTTGCACTAATACAATTTGATGTATGATTCATTCATCGGTCTTCTTTTTTCTTTGCAAAAAATAAAAGTTAAACATGAATTCCGTTTTATGTATAAAATACATCTGACTATAAAGTAATTTTAAAGTGGATAAAGCAAAAACAACCTAATGTGATATAAATGAAATGTTTGACTAAAATCTGAATTTCCTTTGAATGTTAGCATACAACGAACATATGTTTAATTTATTTTGTTTATACTTTGATGGTTGACAACGATTACTATAGCGTAGGCGAATAATAATTTTTTTTTTTGTCCTATCTCTGTCTTTTAAATATTTTGCTCTAAAGTTAGCCTGTGGTCCTTTCAACATCTTATTTCAACAAAAAAAATGTAAAGTTTTCATACAAATATTTTAGTAATTTTTTAATAGAACTGTTAATTAGTAAAAGAACAGAGTATGTAACAAGAAGTTGAAAAAAACAATCATACACGATCAATTTAATTATCCTCTTGAGCTTGTTGAAGTAAAAAATCTAACATTTGACGTTTCGATAATTGACATTGTTTGCTACAATATTTAATAGCTTCTCGAGCTGAAATTCCTTGTTCTCTTAGAGGTGCAATACAGGCCAATTGACATGAAAGTTCTTGTTTATTCACCGTATTCTGATCTCTTTTATTTTCTGTATCATCCAAATCATTTGCAATATCATCGGTATTCTGTATTCGTTTTACTGGACATTCGTTTTGACAAAGTTTCGAAGCTGTCAACATACTTTTACCCTGTTGACGATATTTTCCAATGCAGATTATCTCACATCTGCTTTGAAAATCAATAGAACTATAACCTCCCTGACGTTTATTAAAAAGGTTGTTGTTATCATTATCATCTTCGCTTTCTAAATTTGAAAGATAGACATAGTTTAAAAATATGTTATAATCTAGAATATTCAATACATTACCACGTGAAATTGAACGTTCTTCATTTTCATTTGAATTATCATCGTTCAAATGATTTAGTATTGAACGAAGTTCGAGTTCCAAATTATTATCACTATCTTCATTCTTGTTGATATTATAACAAGATGTATATGTGACAAACAAGAGTAAAGCTAAAACAAAAAAAAAGATCAACTATTCTTTTGTAATTGTAAAATTCTTCTACCATAGTTTGATGTCTATATCGATATATACAAATAAATGAAAAGTATATATCTTAATAAAAATCATTTGCAAGAAAATTTTATTATCATCATCACTTTGACAAGTTGGGATTATTTACTTCTCAAAATAGTTTAACTAAATCCAAGTTAACTTACCAGTACAGCAGCTGTATAATTTCATTGTGTTTATTTTGAGAATTGAGATTGTAAATATTAAGTTGAAAATGAAATACACTGTAGTTTCGTAAATTACTTTGTTGTACTTGCTTTTTACGATTCACGAAAAAAAAAACGGATATATATATATTTTTTTCTGTTCTTTTATATTGCCAAATCTTTGTATATATGTTTGTTGTTGGATGAATGAGTCAGTAGCGTAGGAGAACATTTTGATGATTTTCGGTTATTTATTGAAAAGAAAAGAAAAATGAAAAAAATTATTTTATATTGTACATAGAGAACATAAGATATGACAAGGCATATTTTTCTTTAAGGAGAAAATAAAGGTTATAATTGAATAATAAATTATTAGGAATTAGGTAGAATATTTGAGGTAAAAGATGGATTTGTAAACGTATCCCAGACGTCTACACTATGGTACGTTTAAAGTATGATACGATATTGTGTTAAATAAAAAAACAATGATGTAGTACATTTTTAAAATTTTTCTGTCACCATGTCAGGTAAAGAAAAAAAATTGAGAAATTCTGTACTCATCTGTTTTTTTACATTACATCATTGCCATTTCAACTTTTTCTCTCTTCTAAGTTTTGCTCACAGCTATTTGTTATGTACATGCAAAAAGAATTAGTCAAACCATAGAAATTGCATTTTTTAGTAACATATTTAATTTTTAAATGAATATAAAGATTATATTGATGGTTATACCTTCACGCAGAAACAGAAAGCATATTCATTAAAAGGTAATGTATCGCATATGTCGCAGATTGCGACATTTTGTGATACTTTTATCCGTGACACTGGGTGCTCACTGCGACATTTCCTCTGCAACTTTCGAGAGAAGCTATGAAAATCAGTAGAGTAAGCAATTTTTCTTGGAATTTTTTTCGATTTTAAGATATTTTAAGTCAATTTTGATCACTTCTGATAATGTTGAGATGAGAGAACTTGATGGAACAGTCTTACAATGTTGAAAATATTTTCTAAAAGAAATAAAAGCTTAGACAAACCTGTTAGAGTCTGATTGTTTCGAATAAGGCTAATATACAAAAATTGAACACATTGGAAAACAAATAACAACGTCGTCTTTTCTGCACCGTCGAGTTTTTTTCGATCAACCAGCAAAATATGATGTGATCTTATACAAATTTTCTCCAAGCTTGTTCTTGGAATGAAAGTAAATACGTTTTATCGAAAGAAACATTTTCCTTATTCCATTTCTCTTCAAAGGCTTTCACGCCCCTCCCTGCGAAAGATGAATAATGGCTCACAAACATCCATGCGAAACTAAGATCATGATTTGTAATGAGTGACTGAACTCAACTATCGTATTTCTCAACCGCACTCGATCAGGTTACAAGTTGAACTGAAAAATCTCTAATTCATCTTGAAATTCCAAGCTGGTCCAGTTCAGATTGAGATTCTTGGTTGCACTAGACTAATTCCGAGTTGGACTGAATTCTAAGCTGGACTGCAACATCGCTATCAGGAAAAAGACACTGACGAGTGAACCTTCCTAACTGCCTAATCGATTTTTCTCTAAAAGTTACTTTTATAGGGATAGTTTTTGACACCCTGATGTTGCTTGCTTCTGTCAGCCATTTTCTGTATGAGTCTATGAAACCTTTGTCTCTTTGGATTCAGCACTACTTCCAACAAAACCAGATTGAACAGCATAACGAGTTCCCTATGCAGCGACGTAACCAGGATTCTTAGACCAATGGGCAAACTTCTATTGTGTCAGAAAAAAACGATGGGCAAAATGGGCAAGGTTTTTACTGATGGTCCAAAACGTTTTTGGCCCAACAAAGCATGGGCGGGTCGGGACAGATTTCTTTTGTGTATAGCTGGGATCCCGCATCGTAATAGTATACACATACACGGTGAGAAAAAACCGTAAAATTCAAAAAAAAAACGTGTAGAAGAACCATGAAGTAAAAAACTGCATTATGAAAACCGTAAAATGCAAAATATAAAAGAAAAACTCTGGAAGTAAAATCGTAAAGGTTGAAACCATAGAAACCAAACCATCCACCTTCGAACCGTCGAAGAAAAACCGTAAAATAAAACTGTCAATTTAAGAACTGTATAATTAAAACCATGAAGAAATATCGTAAACGTCAAAACTGTAGAAATAAAATCATGAACTGACAGTTTGTCAAAGGAAAGCAATGAAAACAAAAGCGTGAAGAGGAAAACCGTGAAAGCTTTTTCATGCTGTTTAGTTGACGGTTTTGTCGAAGCTTCAAAATTCATTAAAACATGTGCAGTTTCAGTCGTTAGCACGTCAAAAAGTCTTCCTAATCAATTAACATAAGTTTAATAGAGTGAGTCTTGAGCTTCTCGACAAATCTATCTCACACTGAGGATTATTCAGTAAAGCATAGCCAGGTCGATAAGTGAGTAAAACTAGCACTTGGGATAGGGAGGCGGGGTAGACGTCTTCCAGCACATGTTTCTGCAAAATATGCCTCGTTTTACAAATTCTTTTCTTTGAAACTGGGATTATCTTGAATTTGTTCTGATGCCTATAGTCTTAGAAGATAGAGAGAAAGGGTATACTGAATATCTTCTCCTAATCATAAGTTTCTAGACGTTCGTCATAGAATACATTCGATGATATCATATGATATATGTACACACCTATACAGTTGGCGTTTCTCTTTTATAGCTCAAATGCATGTACGATAGCGAGGAGCTTTACAAATTCAACAGCGACAGCTTTTGGTAAGCCGCTGAAGTTTTTACAGAAGTCTACTCGAGAACATGATGAGTATGCTGTGCGAAGACATACGTCTGTAAGTTCCTCAGTTCAGTGGTTTGTGTCTTAGTCTCATAATTCATACTCGCCAAGCATCTCAGGTTCGATTCCTGGAGGAGCTGTTCTTTTTTTCTTTCCTTTCAAAGTGGACGGTTTTACTTGCACAGTTTTACCTGGACGGTTTTCCTAATAGTTTTAAAACCGTCAAAGCAAAGCTGTCATATATAGTACCCATAGGAAACAAAAGCATGAACAACTAATACCGTGAAAAAAAATCGTGCCAAACTGACTACGGGGCCGCGTATAAAAGTCGTCATGAGTTTCACGGTTTTTTTTTCTCCCTGTACGCATGGACGAGCAAGGAAAAAAAACATGCATAAGTTAAAATAGAAGAAGTGATTCTTTTCTTCTTTCTTTCTTAAGAGAGACTTCGCCAGTCGATCAAATATCTTGCCAGAGACCGGTCACGAGTGAAAAATTGACGTATACTTTTTATTTCATATTCAGATTCTACTGTCAAGACTGGGGTTATGAAAAACAAAAAAAAACTTTCTGACTTATTCTGGTTAAGTTATAGAATTTATAAAACCGGCAGTATCGTCGTAAAAATTTTTTTATTTTGTAAAAGAATTTTGCTCTTTTCTAAAATTATAAAAGGTCTCACACCTGCATTCCTCTTTGAATGGATTCCTCAAAAACCTCTTATAAATATGTGTTTACGTTCCAAAGAGAGAAAGCAGGTTCATATGTTTCGTACACATACAGAAAATTTCAAAAACATCTTTTTTCCGTGGGCTGTGAGACAATGGAATTCGTTACCAATCGATCTACATGATATGACATCTTTAATAAAATTTCGAACTAAAATTCATAATTTTTTCTCTCCTCATTTTAAATGGCCAAGATTCAAGCTCAGTGAGCGTAAATATGATTGTTTACTAAATTAAATGAGAGTTAATTTTTCTCCATCGAATTTTTCTCTATTTCAGAAAAAACTGAGTTCTAGTCGGCTCTCTGCTTGTGAGAAAGTAAAACCGTTAAGCATTTTCTGTTGGAGAGCCCACGTTACCAGCCTCAACGTGATATACTTTTCTCTGACTGGTCATACCTGGCTCCTTCTCTCTGCTTTACACTTGCAAACTTACTTTTTTTTAGAGCAATTTTATACCCTAGATTATTCACAAATTTCAAACTTCATTTATTTGTTACTAACTACATCAAAAACACCAAACATTTTTAAACTAAAATTTCTATCCACTTTCTTTCGTTTTATCCAGTTCCTTTTCTTCTTGTTCTTTTGTTTTACATCGTTGTTATTTATGTATTTCTCCTTTTTCTATGTGTGTGTGTTTTCTGTTTGTGAATGTTCTTTTATGTTATTCTCTGACTACATGCGTTAGGTGTGTCTGTCTTACTTATTATTATACTAGTAATTTTCGCTTGTTGAACAGTCAAAATGATGTCATGCGTCTATTTCTCTTTCTTTTTTCTGTTCTAAATTTTTCAATGGAAATTCTTTTTTCTTCTTTTTACAAATAAAGCTTAAACCAAGACTATTTTCAACCTCAAAATTGGTCACATTCTGCCAAATCCAGCGAAATCCGATTCATCGACCGGAAGGTTCAGGAATATGCCGGAAGATTTGATTAAAAGAGGAAGATACTTTAATTTCGTAGTTTATTAAAACAATTTAAAAATATTTAAAACAAATATATAGGACAATCAAACGTTTCGATCTCTTTTAAACTGAGGTCTTCTTCCAAAATATATAAATACAAAACTATAGTTAAAATTGTTACATATAACGTGTGTAACTTTGAGATTGTAATGTGGTAAGCTGTAAGATTGTCTTATATATTTGTTTTAAATATTTTAAATTGTTTTAATAAAATACGAAATTAAAGTATCTCCCTCTTTTAATCAAATCTTATCTATTTCATATCAGTCAAGTGTTGCTCAATATGTCGGAAGATGTCGGATCCGGTCGAATCTTTTCCGACATCTTCCGCCACGAATTCCGAGCAACAATGTCCAGCATAATCCCGTATAGTTGTTGCCGAATTTTACCGAATTTCGACAACTTTCGGCATGTTCCGATATTGGATCTGGCAGGTTCCATCAGGATTCTGATGCCGGAATGGACGCCCTAGGGTACAGTGAATATACAGCTGTTAGACAAAAAGAAGTGTGTGCGTACACAGCTTTGTACACAGTGCGAACTCTCGATCAAGCGATTTCAGCTCAAAATCGGCTTTTTTTAGGGACGCTATAGAAGACTCCCTTCAAAGTTATGAGCGCTAGGACGCGATATAAGATACGGGTTCTCTATTGTATCTATCCCTTTACTATCTAATTCAAAAATAAACAAACAATTCTGAAAAGTAAAATTTCAATGGGCAAATCTCCAAATGAAATGGGTAATTGCCCATTTACCTCCCCCTCCCTTGGTTACGCCGCTGTCCCTATGTGTAAAATATTCACAACTATGTTTTTCCAGAGTTAGAAGAATTTATCATAATAATAAGAACAGATAAAAAGTTTAGATTTCTCTTTGAATTTAAGAACTGAATTTTTTCTGGCTTTATCAAAGTATCGTAAACGAACGTAAGAAAAGCAAAACGCTTTTGGCCAGAATCATGTTTTGTCCTTATTGGTTTTTTATTTTTTTTTTGCGAACATATTTGTAATAAAATCAAAAACATTAGATCCAATATTTTTTAGTTTTCCTTTAACATTACTAGTAAGACCTTTTCTCTCCATAATAACTATACACCAACGGAAGACTTTACCATCATCTAAGCAAACCATAATACCTTGTGGTAGTTCATCGACACCCGATGGCAAATGATCAATATGCTGTTCGACATCTTTATATCGTTCTGAATTTACCATCGTACACAGTCCAATATTACCATAATAAGTTATGCCATCATTTTCTTCTGTTTGTTGTACATGCATCAAGACCAGGACTTGTTTGAGTCACTGTTTTATTCCAAATTGCATTGATTAATGTTGACTTACCAACTCTAGCTGAACCACAAACACTGATATTAAATTCTTCAAACATGTGGAAAATTTTCTGTCTCATTATGGGATCTATTGTGAATGATTGACCGGCTAATTCAACTTGGTTCTGAAATGTTGCAAAACCATTTGCGAGTGCATTGGCAGGTGCCAGTTGCGGTTGATTCATTTTTTTAATATAACATGGATTATCTTCGACTTCGGAAGATTTTGATGATGAGGTAATCGATGTACACTGAACATTTTCTTTTAGTTTAGATACGGAGTCATCAGGAAGTGGTAGCGTCTTTAAAACAATGCAAAACATTGACATATCATCAGGCGCAGTATTTGGCAAAAGTTTCACGATTTCTTAAGGTGCGTGCGCGTGATGCAAAAGTTCAGCAAAAGTTTTTTGTGACATATCATGCACCATTCGACAGAGAATTTCAAGCAGATTCAGAGAATGTATTTTTTAATGTTCAAATTGCGATTTTTGAGGTAGAAAGTCAAAAATAGTTGGAAGGACTCGAAACTTGAAAAATCGTTCGGTTTCCCATTTGAAACTTTTTAAGTGTTATTTTCGGATTCAGCATTAAAAGTTGCATATAATAATGATGTATTATCAATTTCAAAGTTAAAGATCTGTGCAATACGCACGTTCTAATCCAAACTCTTCCACGTCGGACACATAATTTTGTAAATCTATCTAGTTTTTGTCTTATGGACTTATGGATTCTCAAATTTCTCCATCAGGACTCCACTTTTGAACAAGAAAAACATCATATTCTGAATTCAAAAACTAAGTCGACTAGAAAAGCTTGGCTACACGCTTGCCACCAGCATGCGGGAGTCGGCAGTTTTATGATTTTCTCTCTTCGAATTGTATTGCTGTTGTTACAGATAAAGAGGCTATTGTCTGTCCGCCATTTTCAAAGTCTAAAAGTACTTTCAAAGACTTTAATATTGCTCAAACAGCTTTACAAAAACTATGTGTTCATATGTGACCGAACGTATAAATGCTGATAAAATTAAAATATTAAAATAAAGATTAAGAATAACTAAAACAAGAATTAACTAAAAACTCTAGGGATTTGCAATCCAAAAGAGACTAGTTTAACAGAGCGTATACAATTAATCAAAAATTTCGCAAAGCGTAATACGAGCAGATGCACATATGAAGTGGAAATTAAAAGTCGACTTTCTTAGCGTCAGAAGGAATGAGCTCTAACTTTGCAAAAAATTTTGTTTATTCTTTTAAATAATAATAATGTTTGAATAAAGTGTTGAGGTCGTTTCGTTTTCAAAACGCCAGCAGGTAGATGCAACTGATGAAGCGCCATCTATCTGCTGGCGTTTTGAAAATGAAACGACCTCAACACTTTATTCAAACATTATTATTATCTAGAAGAATAAACAAAGTTTTTTGCAAAGTTAGAGCTCATTCCTTCTGGCGCTAAGAAAGTCGACTTTTAATTTTCACTTCATATGTATTAGGAACAAACATTAATATCGAAGAAATAAACAATTTCGTCAAACGATGGTTGAAAATGCTTTAAAATATTATCACACATACAAATATACCGGCTTGAACAAACACCAGCAATTGTATAAAAAGAATCCGCAGAATTCTGAGGAACAATATTATTCAGAAATGTTTTAATTTGTTTTGCACAAAACCAGCCTCTCTATGTTGAACAACTAGCACATTTTAAGAAATTAATTTCCGAAGGACCTAACTATGTTTGCTGTATCTGCTCGCGTGCTTTGTTTAAAGATCAAGTAATCGTTTGCAATCGTGACAGATATTTAAGAACTTCCTCCTCGTGCTATTGCAAATAATTTAAAAGTAGCAAATCATCTGATGTCTTTAAAAGATTAAATAAAGTCGAAAGACCTTTAATAGCTAGACGAATTCCATTTATGAGAATTCTGAATTTGCCTGTTGCAGTTCCTAAACTTTGTTAAAAGGTTTTCAAAGGTTCACTTCACTGTGTGCCTGCTAACATTGTTATTACTGCAAATGCTTTACCCAGACCATTATATAAGTCACAAATGATTTGGTTACAGCTTAAAAAACAGTTGCATTTAAAAAATGCCTGAAAACAACTTATAATATAAAAATACATTTCAGAAAAAGCAAATGCTTTACTCTAAAAATGGAAATCTATGTGGTACGTCGAAAATACAAGTAAATATCTTACTTTTAAAAAGAGAGTAAATTCCTTACTACGAAACTGCGAGTAAGCCTTTTCCTCTCAAAATTGGAATAAATATTTCACTCCAAAATTGAGAGTAAAGGCCTTACTCTGAACGTGGGAATAAGCGCCGTACTTCGAAATTGGGAGTAAGCCTTTTATACTCTAAAACTGAGAGTAATTGTCTTACTCTAAGAATACCAATTCACTCTGTAGGATATTCTCGTAAGTTAAAGACCTAATTTTCGGAGTAAGAAAATCCTGATTTCAGAGTAAATCTTTTTAAAAAGTCCCCCCGCCCCGCTCACCGCTCTTTTTAGGTCTTGGTACATTTGTCTGATAATGAACTAGACTGTTCATACAGTATAAACGAAGATGACAGTAAGTATTAAAAACACACTATATATATATAACTTTTAATACTTACTTTTTTATTAGAGCATAGAGAATTTTGTTACCAATGACCATATCAAAATTTGATGGTTTTTTTCTGATGCGTCAACCGAGATTTTTGCATATTCGGAATCAGCGCGACGAGTTACGTTGTACGGCGCAAAGATCTCGTTGGGACCCCCTCCATTTTTTGGATCCGGTGGCTCCGTTGGAGGTTTCACGGTAT